GAGACACACCAGCCTGACCTCCTCTCTCCGGCCATCTCCCTGCCTCCAACACCATCAGCACCATCACCTCCTCCTCCCTGACCACCACCCATGCCCAGATCTGCAGCATGCCTCAACCCCCTCTCCCATCACTGACGACCAGAGGCACTCCTCACCCTGAGCCGCTGCCTGAGACCTCGACACCGCAGCCCTCCTCCGCCTCCAGTCCTCCATCTTCGACTCCCCTTGATCACCGACGTGCCCAACAGCCCCGGCGCCACCCGCCGACAGTCCGAGCTTCGCCTATCAACTCAGATCTGCTTCACCGTTTCAGTCCCGACGTACCGCGTCTGCATCGGCGCCACCGCCTTATCATTAGACTCCACGGTCTCGTAGGCAAGATCCTGCTCTCCTTGTTTCGTAGTTGAATATTTACATTATTATGAATCATTTACGTAGTTTAATTATGACATATTTATCTGCGTGGGTTGGTTGCTGAATAATATTGATTTAAATCATAGTTGTATGATAAATAGTATTTTCAGAATAATGATAATGAAGTGAAAGAATTTATTTTGATAACGAAATTATTTTGGAGAATTTATAATATTTAAAAAGAATTTATTTTGAGAAAAAGAATTATTTTAGAATAATAATTGATGAGAAATAATTTTAAAGAATTTATTCTGGGAAAGAGAATATTTTGGATTATTATAATGAGAAATAATTTTTAAAAGAAATTATTTTGGGAAAGGAAATTTAAAAGGATTATTTTTCTGAATCATGTAGATGCTGTTTATGATTTATAATTCTTATTTTGATTATCTGATATGTTATGATATTATTGCACATGATTAGTTGCATTGATTGTTCCATGTTGTGATTGAGAATTATTAGGAGTTTATGACTATAGTGACCTGTATGACACAGTTAGGATCTAGAATCTCGTGTGTAGTTAACCTGGAATTACGTGAATTAGTGTGAGAAGTCTTGGTCCATGTGAGTGTTTGTGGAAAATTTATAGTAAAAAGACAATGAAAGAAAAATTGACTTGTATTCTCTCAAAATCGATTACAATTTGGATTCCGATTACAAAAGAGAGGAGAATGAATTTGATTCTCCCATTTGTTTAATTCTGGGTTCTTCTCGGTAGCGATGGAGTGCCTCCTTCGAATGCTCGCGTCGAATTCGCTCTCTGTTGACGACCCGATCGTCTTGTCTCACGATTTGGATTGACTTGTATGATGAATCCGATTTAGAACTCTTAACAAGTTTAAGAAACTCAGAACGAGTTGAAAACTCTAAAAAGAGTTGTTGAAAACCGAATAATCGATTAGTGTAATTAACTTGCGTTGCAAGTTTAATTAAAAACTCTTGACGAGTTTAAGCACTCAGAGCGAGTTGAAACTCTGTAACAGAGTTGTTATAACTAAAAATTCGGTTAATTGCCGAGTAGATCCGCTGTTAGTGAAGGGATTCTCTGAGATTTGATTAACTGACCGCCGATTAGTTCCTTGATCCTTAGAAAATTCGCCCTCTCAGCCCAACTTTATGTGATTTTGATCTCCAAATCTCTAATGTTGTGCGGTTTTTCTGCTCAAACCGACCAACCCCTTACTCAGTTGAGTAATGTGGTTATTTATAGGGGGATATAGGGTGCAACCAACCCCTAAATCCGCTCCTAAGTGGGCGAGAATCCCTCAGAACGTGGGGTAAACGGTTGTGAAGCCGTTCAACTTGTGTTTGAACAAGTCAAATGCCTAACTTGGCGTTCTGGGCCTTAACTCTGCGCCTAAGGCTTGAGACGCAGAGTTAAATCTCTGCTAGAGATTTAAAACGCACAGGCCGCATGCGCACAGGTCACTTGTGTGCTGAATCTCAACTCTGCGTCTTGAGATTGAGACACAGGGTTGAGTGTTTGCTGAAGAACGCACAGTCTGTGCGTTTTGTTGTTTAACTCTGCGTTGCAGAGTTGAATATCTGTTGGAGAACGCACAGTTCGTATGCGTTTTGAGTTTTAACTCTGTGTCGCAGAGTTGAATGTCTGTTGGAGAACGCACAGTTCGTATGCGTTTTGAGTTTGGGAAACACAGAGTTGGACTCTGCGTTTGGGAGAGGTTGTTGGCTTGTAACCTCTTTCATTACAACATCGCAAAGGCTACTTCTCATTGATCTTTGCTTGTTATGGGGTGTGAAAGTCGTTAGATTGTAACTCTCACAGTTGGTTATGAAGGCTACTGAATAGAGTTTTCATCAGCTGTCAGAAGTATCGTTGATTTGTAATTCTTCTTGATCTATGTGAAAAGTCCTCTGTTTGTAGCTTTTGTTTGTTGAAGCTTGATGGGGATCAGCTATCTATTGTGATTTTTAGACAGCCTACAGAACCCCCTCCAAAGTTTTCGAAAGTTCGCAGTTGACTGGGATGAATTTTCGGAATACTTTGGATCCCAAAATTTTAGTTAGTTGGTTATTCACTTCGTCTGATTTGAAGACATTGTGAACTTGGTTGTTGGAATGATGAAATTCTTTTTCCTCGAACCAAACAAGATAGCTTTTGAGTTTTGATGACAATAAACTTAGTCGAACAAACTAAATCCCCAGTCATCGTCAGAATCACCGACAGGCTCGTCCTTTCTTCCTTAGAGGCAAGAGCAACAACCTTCTCAACAGATACAATAGAGATAACAACAACAACAAGGATGTTCTTGTAGGTATTGACGAACATGTGAAGCGCCGCTGCAAGAGTTGGGTAACAGAGAGCGAAGGATAGCGAAGCAACCATAGCAACACCAGCTGCAAACTTGTCAACAAGGTCTTCCTCCGTGAGGTTGAGCACCTCTGGGCTTAAGACAGATCCATTGTCATAGACAGAGAGAATTGCAAGCCCACATGAGAGGGGCTTTATCCTAAATTTGGTTTGGAGGGCAGCCTCAGAGGAATCCATTTTATCTCCTTTTTTTATCAGCTTAACTGGGGTGATGATTTTAGCAATATCATCATTACCCTTTGTTGGGATGTTAAGCTATTTAGAAGAATGAGTTGCGCGTAGTTCATGTCTTCATTAATCTTGGTGGGAACGTTAAGCGATTTAGAAGAATGAGTTGTGCGCAGAATCACGTTTGACAGTTTTAGCGTTGCCGATTGTACTTCGTTTGTACTCATCCAACAGACTCCCCAGCGGAGTCGCCATCATTTCTCGGCTTTAGTCACCTTAATGGCCACATATGCTTCCCTCTATTTATTTAAAGCTATGTCTTAGCTTTAAACGTCGAGAAATTCATTTAGTGGCGTTTAAAAACGCACAGGTGGATTCGCGTGCTTTAAAATTAAAACGCAGAGTTAAACTCTGCGTTCAGAAGCTCAACCAACACAGACGCACAGACCGCGTTTGGCGGGATTCTAGGCCTAGAATCTTGCCCTGATTCGACATCTCATAGCTGTCTATAAATAGACCGCTGGGGTCAAATCAAAAGTCATCTGACTTTTCATCTGTCTTCTCTCAAAAAGCTTAACGAAGATTTTGTTTTGAACTCTGGTGAACCCCGTTCATCTTCTCCGATCATCATCCTTAATGGGTCCGAGAAAGAAGACTGTCTCCCGTCAAAAGTCGGCTGCTGCCGCTGCTCTGCATTCTCGGTTGACCTTGGCTGTCGGCGGTGATGAAACTCAGGCTAGTGCGCCGTCGGCATAGGCTTCCCTCGTTGGTGGTAAGTATCGACCTTCATGGCCACAGAACTTGCTTCGGTGAGTTCTCTGAAAACCCTAGATGGGTTCTTGTGAACGAGGAAGATGACTCGTTTTGATATTGTAACGCAGAGTTTGGAACTTTGCGTTTCGAATTTAAAACGTTGGGGTCCGACCTCTGCGTTAATGAGTTTTGACGCATGGTCTGGGCTGTGCTTTTGGAAGCTTGACGCAGGGTTCGACCTCTGCGTTTGATAAAATTTTAACGCTAAATTTGAACTGTGCGTTTGAAAACTTGATGCAGAGTTCGACCTTTGCGCTGATAAGATTCAACGCCAGGTTTGAACTGTGCGTTTGAAAGCTCGACGCAGAGTTCGACTTCTGTGTTGATAAAATTTGACGCCAGGTTTGAGCTGTGCGTTTGGAAGCTTGACGCAGGATTCGACCTCTGCGTTTGATAAAATTTTAATGCCAGATTTGAACTGTGCATTTGAAAACTTGACGCAGAGTTCGACCTTTGCGTTGATAAGATTCAACGCCAGGTTTGAACTGTGCGTTCGAAAGCTCGACGCAGAGTTTGACTTCTGCGTTGATAAAATTTAATACCAGGTTTGAACTGTGCGTTCGAAAGCTCAACGCAAAGTTTGACCTTTGCGTTGATAAAATTCAACGCCAGGTTTAAACTGTGCGTTCGAAAGCTCTCACTCCTCTAAGGATTTTGACTAAGGTTCCCTTTGTTTTATTTCCTTATTGACTAATTGAGTACTTTTTCTTTTGCAGTGCCTTACTCCCGCGAACCTCTTACTCTTCGTCACCATTTCGGACACGGGGGTGGCGTGGATTTAAATATGCAATTCAATCTGCGTTAGGAACTCCCAATTTTTTAGGATGCAGACAAGGATCGTGTTACCCTGATCTCGAATCCAAGCCCGGCTGTACTCAGGATTTTGGTGACAGATACCAAATTCGAAACCGACTCCCATAAAAAGCTCACCAAGCCGGCCTTCCCCGTTTGGCGATCATGTCATCATCCAAAAAGAGATCGTGACCGACGACCACTATAAGTGGTTGAGGCAAATAGGAGATCGCCGCTTCTTCCTCCCTGATATGCATAGGATGTTTCCTATCGCTTATTATTAGTGTGCTTCCATCCTTTGACATATAGATTGGGACCTTGTCCGTGAGTAGGATGGGGTAGCTGTCGGAGCTTTGATTTACACAGGTGTACACACTATAGGTTACAACCGCCAAGTGTCAGCTTTGGAACTCTGCCTATTCTCAAGGGGATATCCCGTTGGAGAAACATCTAGCATAGCCAACACTTTCATGCGAAGATTTTTGGCTGCAAAAGGGGAGTTCCCTCCTTCAGTATTCAGAACTCCCGGATGGGTTCATTCTTCCAGAACGGGATGGTGGGCAAGAATGACAGAGTTCGTGTTGATAGAGCGAGAGGAACCATTAGCTCGATCTGGACTCAGTTGCCCCATAATGGCTACCAGATGCGACATTGACTACAACTATTACAATTTTTCACTGTTCTGGAGAAATACAACCCAGAGACGTGTACATTCTTCACACCTATGGGGGAATTAGGGTTTGCCCTCTATGAAATGTATGACGTTTCAGGTCTTCATTTTGGAGACTTGCCCTATGAGGAGTTCGTCCTAGGGTCCAATGAGCTTAGGATTTTGAAGGAGATGCATCCTGACGTCTATGACACTCTATGGGAAGTAATGTGTCATTTTCAAATCTGCACCTAATTGATGGGGGCACGAGGACATGGTATAAAGCAGCTATCCTGTACTGAATATCTATTCCAAAATTTATCCCACAAAACTGCCGCTGTGTCTCGTCGGAGTGTGAGCACCCCTGAGATGATCCAAGCTTTGATCAACGATTCTATGGCCCATTATGTCAACGAGGGATTAGAAGAGGATTTCCCTACGTAGACTGAGTTTGAAAGTTTCCACCACCAGGCTGTTGTGCCTATTTCTGACATGGCCTTGTTGGCAGGCTTTCTCATGTTGTGGCTAAAGTGATATGTCGTTCCTACGAGGCCCATAGATGTTGTGATGATAGAAGTAGTCTACCCGGCTGTCCTCTTAGCTCACGGGAGACATGTGAACTTACTTTCAGCTATGACGTGCTGTTTGCAGCATGGTTTGAGGGAGTTGTGCCTCGAATTCATTCAGGTGAAGGAGATAGACTCTGAAGGAAATAAAAGTTTGGTGACACCAAATCCTCGAGTTCCTCTACCGTATACCTATTTGATGGCATGGTACGTATCCCACTGTCCTCTTTTGATGAGTGCCCCATCTCCCTTGGACGAAGGATTCGTCCCTTTTGTACAGAGATTGGAAGGAGCTACTTGGGAAGGCACATATGTAGTGAGGGTTCGTCAAATCTTGTCGAGAGACCTCAATTATCACCTATTCCGCTGTTTCCCAGACTTTGAAGGTGGTGGCTATGAGCAAGTGTTCCAGGATACAGCTGGCCCGGATGGTTTTACCCATTTAGATAGAGGTGTCTTCCACTGGCTCTTGAACATTAGACCAGGTTATCTTCTCCTTAGGCAAGGTGATAAATGTATAATTGAGCCGTATCAACTGTACAGATTTGTTCGACAATTTGTATACGATCAATTATACATTGGGAACCCCCGGAGTCAACTTGCAATTGTTGATAACATATACAAAGGGGCTCGGGCCTAGTACTACTCTACCGTAGGCTGCACTGGAGCTACCTTTAGGTTGCCTCACAAGACGCCTAATTCTCTCCTCTTCATAGCTTTCTGTAACTGGTATCACACAGCTTCCAAGATACCTGATTACAAGTTGAATTTGTCGGGACTATGGGAAATTAGGAAGATGTACTCATCCAGAAGAGGATCCCGGATATTTCGTTTGAAGGGAATCAATGAGTTCTTATCTTATAAAAATGAAGCTGAAGAAGAAGAAGGAGATCTGGGACCAGAGAGTGCCCCAGTAGCGAGCCCTAAGGCTGCTGAAACTCCAAGAACAAAAGCAGCTAGAAAGAGGGCTCTTACCGAAGAAGAGGCAGTTCAGTATGAGAAACGTACTCGTAGGAAGCTATTAGTAGACCCTCTTCTCAGAAACTAATGACGGATGCTTTCAAGTCTACAGGGAGAGAGGAGGAACAAGAATCTGCTGTTACCAATCATCCCCCCCACACAGGACTTCGCTCTAGGGGTCTTTCTAGTGAATTTTCTTCTTGCCCTCCTCTGGATCAAGAAGAGGGTGAGGATGAGTCATTGATTGGGGATGTGGAATCTTCCCTTGACCCTGTCATTTCACCATTTCCAGGTCAGGCTTCAGATGCTACTCTTCTGGCTGCAGAGACGTTCATTTGTAGTGTCTCCTGCTAAAGAGACTAGGCCTCCTACAGATGAAAGTCAATCTCCTACTGCTTCTGTGTTACTACCATAGACGAGGGCTACTATTCCTAGCCCAACGACTAGCATTATGACTAAAGCGGATGCCATTGCCAGTTCTCCTGGATTACCGACCGCAGATGATGAGGAACCGTTAGACTATGGGACCTCTTCCCGTAGCGATGATGCTGATGAGGAGGAAGGTGATGATGAGGAACCGTTAGACTATGGGACCTCTTCCCGTAGCGATGATGCTGATGAGGAGGAAGGTGATGGTGATGAGGAGGAAGGTGATGGTGATGAAGATTCCACCGGCTGGGCTGATCCGCCACCACCTTCTTCTGACAAGGCGTCTGCTTATGTTCCTTCTTCCCCTCTTGGTAAAGATTACACTTGCTGGTTTCTCTAGACTTTTCTTTCTTTTGTGCTAACTACTCTTTTGTGTAGGTTCTCCGACCCGCGAGGCCGCTGATAAGACTTTATCTCCTGAACAGCAAGCAGCAGCTGCTTCTCTCCCCAAGCCAACGCCGGTAACGACTACCTCTTTGCAAGAAGAATCCCCCACGCTAATGATTTCTCTTAAGTCTGCGAGGATGGAGAGTGTGCTGAGTTTAGCCCAAACAGGGACACTCATGGTTCTTCCTTCCAGTCCTTCACAACTGGATATTTCTATGGCTTCCCCGGCTTCTTTACGGTCATCACCCACCGTTCTTGCACCAGGGTCTATGATTCTGGGCTCCCCAACAACATCTCCTGTGAAGTCTTTAAGTCCAGTGGTTATCCCCTCCATGCTTAAGATTCTTGTGCAACCTTTGGAGGACATGATGAAGGTGGCTATTGAGGAGGTTGGTGCTGGAGGAGCTACGTTT